TAGCGGCCGTGAACATGTTTAACCCCCCATCTGAGATAGTAGCGGCACGGGACCACATCATGCATGTGGTGTATTCCTTCCTTCAGCCAAGTCGAATTCTGGACAAGTAAGCCTATCATTCATACTACATGTACAGATAGTTGTCCTATGACAGTGTTTATTTCATTTGGCCACCCTCTTGGAAATTAAGCTGGTGATTTTTCTGCTACCTTAGGTTATAACTTGCTAAAATCATGTCTATGGTATATCTATGGTCATAGTGGGCAAAATAGGACTCTTTGTGCCCTTTCAGTGTATATTTTGTTATTTTACCTGAGAATGACTTGGATTTGTAAAGCATGAATTTAGCATAAAAAGTGTCATGTGTTCTTTGATATCTTTTGACTACCTCATCTGTTATTATCTTTTATTAAGGAATTTTACAATTAACTAGATTTTCACATTATTTTTTAATCAGAAGTACTTGTAAACATATTTATATAATAGGTTGACATTATAATCTTTGTTTATTTTCAGCACCCTGCCCAGTATGGAGACCCCCTACCCTATGTTGGTCCTAGTTGGTCCCCAGGGGTCAGGGAAGAAAGACCTGGCTCTAAAACTGGTAGAGGAATTCTCTGATTACTTTGGTTATTGGTAAGTCAATAATTCTTACTGAATCTTATTTCAATTTATACTGTTACAGTGTAAATTATGAAAATGTCCCTATTTTTCCTTGAACTATAATTATTATATACTCACTGTTGCATACTGGTAAAAATATAAATTAAACAAGATGTGTTTGTGAAACACTATGCGCCCGGCGGCAACAAAGTTCAAAAAATCTATTTTTAGCATATAGGTCACAGACAAGGTCACAAGGTCATTGACCTTGGTGTCATTTGAAAGGACTTTATTAGTGGAGTATGCATACCAAATATGAAGTCTCTATCTCTTATTGTTCAAAAGTTATGGCAAAAAGTGTAAAAAGCTATTTTTAGCATATAGGTCACAGTCAAGGTCACAAGATCATTGAACTTGTCGTCGTTTGAAAGGACTTTATAAGTGGAGTATGCATATCAAATATGAAGTCCCTATCTCCTATGGTTAAAAAGTTATGACAGACAGTAGAAAAATCTATTTTTAGCATATAGGTCACAGACAAGGTCACAAGGTCATTGACCTTGGTGTCATTTGAAAGGACTTTATTAGTGGAGTATGCATACCAAATATGAAGTCTCTATCTCTTATTGTTCAAAAGTTATGGCAAAAAGTGTAAAAAGCTATTTTTAGCATATAGGTCACAGTCAAGGTCACAATATCATTGACCTTGTTGTCGTTTGAAAGGACTTTATTTGTGGAGTATGCATACCAAATATGAAGTCCCTATCTCTTATTGTTAAAAAGTTATGACAAACAGTGGAAAAAGCTATTTTTAGCATATAGGTCACAGTCAAGGTCACAAGATCATTGAACTTGTCGTCGTTTGAAAGGACTATATTAGAGGAGTATGCATACCAAATATGAAGTCTCTATCTCTTACGGTTTAAAAGTTTTGGCGAAGGTTAAAGTTGACAACAGACAAACAGACAAACAGATAAACAGACAAACAGACAAACAGACAGGACAAAAACAATATGCGCCCCGAAAAAATTCGGGCGCATAAAAATCGTTTAAAGCTTCAGACCTGAGAAATTGGTAGTTAATATGGAGGAAGAGAGGTTTAGTCATAACCAATTATTTTATATCAATAAAATGGGTTTTCTTCAATGAGAATTTCTATGTTGATTTTTATTTTCAGTGTAACACATACCACACGGAAACCAAATAAAGATGAAACACCAGGAAAGGACTACCATTTCGTAGATCTAGAGAAATTTGAATTTGATATCAGATGGGTGTGTTGGAACTTGATTTTTTTATTTGCATAGAACATGTATTATTATACCACATTAACAATAGGGTTTGATATCAGTTCCTTCAAGCTGGTGAATCTTTTCCTTGTACATGTACATGTGCATGTAATACCAGTTTGCAATGATTGTTAACATTAGTAAATTACTTGAATATTGAAGATAAAAAAATATATACAGATAATTTATGTACAAATATAAATTCTGGGACATGTTTTATGAATTTTGAAGTTTTTGTTATCTTTTGTTTTGAAATATTGATCATTTCTTCCATTAAAAAAATATGATTTTCCAAGAAATGTTAAAGTAAAGTGTATTCATTGATCAATAAAGCACCTACTATTTAAATATAAAAAATGAGTATAATAATCTTTGATAACAGGGCCAGTTTATCCAGACCAGTCAGTACCATGGTCAGTGGTATGGGCTCCAGATGCAGTCCATTGAGGACATAGCTAGGGAGGGACTGGCCTGTGTCGTCCACATGGAACTAGAGGTGAGGGGTCAGGGGAAGTTTGTCTATCCTATTGGACATTAATTAAGAATCAAAATATCACTGGCTCATGGGGATGTAATCTTGTGATTAAAATGATCCACACAAACTTTTAAAAAAATTTTGTTTATGGGGATGTACCAGGTAAATGCGAGGACAGAGAGATCCACAAAATCCACAGACATTGGTTCCCAACAAATGTTGATTCAACATTAATCTATCCCTTAAAATTTTCAAAGAGATCTTGAGAGGTCCCTTTTATGGGGTTTTTGTTAAAATAGGAATATGTAATTATACAAAGTTCTTTACTGTAGGGAGTACTAACTCTTAAGAACACCTACTTTGAGCCCCGGTATGTCCTGATCATGCCTCTGAGCTCCGAGTGTCACGAGAAGCGACTCCGAGAACGTGCTCTGTACTCCGAGGCTCAGATCGAGGACAATCTCACACGAGCCGAGATGTATCAGGAATACAACAGGGACCATCCGGGATTCTTTGACATGATGATCAACAGTGGTGAGTAGGACATTATGCCATTCAATGGACTGAAAGGTGCCAAAGAGTGTGCTCCTTTATATTTTAAGTCCTACAGTGAATCCTGTGGAGATGGAAGACTATTCACACACATTTTGGAATTTGACAATTTGAAATGTATTTGACCATGCACTGTCTGACACTTTACATAATAATGCAAATATTGAAAACTTATCTCCCATCTGAAAATAAGAACATAACTGTGACAATGTTGTTTAAATTTTTCCCATTTCTATTCTCACCTCAGATGACATAGAGGAGGCTTACAAGCACCTGAGACGACTGGTTATGGATTATCTCGGTATCAGCATTCCCTCGTTTGAGTCCGAGGTCGGGGATATAGCCGAGACCAAGGACACAGAGAATAACGCCCCCACAGGAACTCAGCTGGGGACCCGGACCTGGTCCCGACCCAGCCTCCCTGACAGCATGTCCCAGCCCTACACCCGCGGAAAGACCACTCAGTCACCTGTATTGTCAGGGAGGGGCATACTGGTAAGTAGGGGGTCAAAATGACTTGGTATTGTTTAGCTTAAATTTTTCAATTACTCCTTTAAAAAATTAAACAATACAAAGGTATTTGGATTACTGGTATGAAATTAGGCTAATCGTTTATCTTTGTATAGATTTTATTTAATGTAACACTTTTTATAGGAGCTAGGTGATCTCTTTAAAGAGAATAACAAGGTTGGTCGTGTAACATTGTGTACATTTATCTTATGTTACTTTTTCGTAGGAGGAGATGTCCTTGAAGAGAAGACACAGCGCGGCCAAGGCTTCAGTAGCCGGCTACATTCCTCCATTGTTTGAACAAATCACATCACAGTAAGTTGTGTTGTCCCTTGTATTTCATCAGAATAAAAGATAACAAAAAATACAATCATCATTTAAGAAACAATAATAAGCTTTTGCTATAGTCTGGACTGCAATGTAAGAAATTAATTTTTCATTTCATTGATTGACTACTTCTCAATGTTTTTTGAGCCATTTGAAATTTCTTGGAGAATTAAGTACAGTGAGCCTCATTTATCCGGACGCTTTGGTTCCTTGTCAATTTGTCCATATATGTGAAGCGTCCGGATATCTGAATTACTAGTTAAACAAGACAAAATAATGTTTAAAAAAAATCTGTTCTGATGAAAAATCGTCTGGAAACTAAAGCATTCGGATGTCTGAAGTTCCACTGTAATTGACTTTATACTCTTTTAAACAGATACCCCAAAACAGCCCCCCAGACTGTAGATAACCAGGTGGGACTTGATGTGGTTACCATGACGGAGGACGTTAACCGGTCGCAGTCAGCCCCGGTCAACAACAAACAGGCCCAATCAGACGAGGACTCCTCAGATGACGACCAATCAGATTCCAGCATCTCCATGTCGTCTGCCGGTAAAATTGCTCGCTCACCCGATGGATCAGTTCACAATGGGAAAGACCCCCACCTCCCCACAGAGACCATGAACCCCATGGAACTATCCAACCCCCGCCCTCCCTCTGTGCCCCGCCCAGGTTCTCAAGGTCGCCCGGGGTCAGATCGTCATAAAGTGCTGCCACCTATCAACCAGAAAGCATCTTATGTTCCAGAATATTAACACAAAAGTACACTTGTACCTTGCATTTATAATTTGTAAATAAGTAAATATGGAGTGTTGTATCTGGGAACATTGGAAGGATGCTGGTTTTGATATGCTAACATTTTAACAAAGAACTGTGATATTTGAAAAATTTGTTGAATGATAATTATGTAAATTATGTATTTGTATTGTTTACATGATCATTTTGTATATTCATGTCCATATATATATTGTACATTATATTGAAATAAATGTGTATGAATTCTGTAAATAGTTTTTTTACTTCACTTAAAATGTTTCAGATCTTATTTTTTATCCAGTAGCAAACACTGAATAATGAAGCTTAATAGTTCCTTAATATTAAGCCAGCATATAATGGGCATTTTAAAATCTCCTTCCCAACATATCTGGCTTGTTATTTCCATTCACTGGAATCTTTTATCTGTACAAAACAGAAGCTTATTTTAGATCTTTGATGTATTGTAGCAGCATGGTCATTTCATTTGTAACAATTCTGGCCTTGACCCTCCTGGTCTGGTTGGAAATAGTAACGCTGACTAGCCATCAAGGACTGTATACAGGGAAAATTTTGTCCATTTTACCCCCGCCCCTTTTTTGTCCAACTTAAGGTGGCCAAATTCAAATAAGACTGTATGAATTCTTAAACAGAACTGTTATTGGGTGAATTTAAAACAGGGCAACATTGTTTGGAAGTATAAAAGGGCAAAAACATGGGGCGAAAATACTGTACACAGGGTTATTTTTACCCTGATTTACTTTCACACTTGCAAACAATTTTGCCCTGTTTTAAATATGCCCAGTCACAGTTTTGTTTAACATATTATTCTGTATTCTTTGAATTCGCCTCTTTTAAATTTGCCCGAGGTTAGGGCGAAAGGGGAGAAAATAAAATGGGGGCAAAAATTTCCCTGTATACAGTAGTCCTTTATACAGTATTAAATTCATAAGAAATGCAAGGAAGGACAGTACAAACTATACCGCACTGCAAGGAAATTAACCATATGTGTTTGTAATCTCTTCATTTTGAAAAAAAAAACAATCCAAAAATAATTTCTCCTCATTCCAAAAACAATGAACACCTGTAATGAATATAAAATAAGTTTATTCCACACACTACAAAGTTCACTTCCTCAATGCCCTCTTTCCCTGGCCCTTCTCTGGGGGGCCTTTACCCCGCTTGGCTCTCTGAGCTGCAAATTCCTCCTTAAAATCGGCATGGTAGTCCCTGAAAAGAGCAGAAAAAACATCACTACCAATAAACAAAAGAGGTCATGTCTACAAAATATGTAATATAGGGACAATTATTGGGAAAATATGCACTTTAAATTATGATAACCTTATTCAGATTTCAAGAAATCGTATAATTTTTTTAATTAAGTAGTTATTGACAGCTTTAAGTTATTTTTTCATTCTGCAATAATAAAGCATGCAGTTCTCATTGAATTATGTAGCACAAACATTATTTCGATACCATACTGTTAACATAAGCCAAGAAGAATTGTTGAGTAGCTATGTAACATTTCGCATTTAGTGGTGGACATGAATTCATCTCCACCACTAAATGCGAAATGTTACATAGCAAATCAAAAAACGAAAATTAAACCCCCACAAAAAATTGTGATTTCACTGAATTTCAAAATATTCACCTGAACAATCCATGATGTCTAAGTCTGTTTAGGAGCCATGTGGCCTCCGGGTGCTTTGGGTAATAGTTTATGATATTAGGGTCCTTATATTTTGGCATACTCTTGAATTCATTGATGATTCGGTTGGCATTGTACGTCCTTTCTCCAGTGTACTCCCCGAATATCCTGGCAGACAGATGGGCCATCCGCTTGGCATAGTTAGACACCTTGCCCTTCATGGCTGCAAATAAGGCTATATGTTCAAAATGAATTTCTTTACAAGCTTTTGGAATTTTTTTTGAATTAGACAAAAATAATTAACTCGGGTAGACTTTACTTTACCGGTCCCCAGATCCGCAAGATCCTCGCGCTCATTGGACTATGACGTAACAACTACGTCACTCAACTGAAATGGGTTAAATCTACACACTATTCGACTGATTAGGGTTAGTCTTGCACCTACCTGAGAGATTAGGGTTAGTCCTTGCACTAGTATTCGACTGATTAGGGTTAGTCTCGCGTCCATCCGAGAAATTAGGGTTAGTCCTCGCACATTATTCGACTGATTAGGGTTAGTTTAGCATCTGCCCGGGAGATTTCGTCTGAACGTCTTAGTCCTTGCATACCATACGATGGATTAGGGTTAGTGAATCGTTCTTTTAGTTAAGAAATTCAGTTGTTTCTGTAATTTTTCCAAGATCATAATTCAGATTCATAGGCATTTCCTTCGTTTGTTTACATGGAAGATTGGCTAAGTCCGAAAGAAATGACATTAAGCATGCGCCGCACGCGTTTCGTTCAGAATTATTCTTTGTCGATTTTTTCCATGAATAAACAACTATTTATTAATTTTTTTCAGAGAACGAGGTTAAAAACTTTGTTTAAAAACAAAGTTTTAAACTAAACTTTTAACCGTAGAATTCAATTTTGGGGTCAAAAGGTCAAAAAACCTCGTATTTAAAATTTTTTTCGATCGCTCACGCGATCTCATATATACTGAAGTCGCCTTCGGCGACACTACATTTTAGCGCGTTTTTCTGGGGACCGGTAAAGTAAAGTCGTTCCATTAACTCAATAATCCATCTAAATCTACTTTAACAGAAGAAGAGAAAAATGCAGTGGACCAGAACATGTTTCGAACCTTTAATAAATCAGGGAAAATAATGAATTGGACAATTTTAACTATGATGGGGAGGAGGGTAGATGGCTACTAGATGCAGTGTTTTCCCTAAGAACCGGCTACCAGCAAAATTGACGACTTCAATTGACAAAAATGCCTCTTTGAAATAAAACTTTGTTGTTAGGTCCACAGAGATTTTGTTCATTAACCTTAGCCCATAGCCTGTTACAACTGATCTCTAACCCTTTACTTTGTGAAGGGATGTGATATCAGGGCTGTCATACTTTTGAAATAAATAATCTAACGTTTACCCTAGGGAATTTTGACAATAGATAATCTGTCTTTTAACTGACATAAAAATCAATCGTATGAATCAACACTCTCTCAAAATTAAACGATCGTCGTCCTAGGAGCTAATGTATGAAATATGTCTCTCAAGCGTAACCTGTGGAATTACCCTCGCCAGAGTATGCGATAGAACATAGGAAATGTCGCTTAAAGAAATTATCTATAGATATTCGAATAGTTTAATGACCAAAAATGTGTCTACCTTTTGATAGGCCTTGTAGTTTTCCGACTTTTCTGTCAATCACATTGTTAATGATTGTTATTCACTGCAATGGAGATCTCAATGTACAAATGTTTCTTCTGAGCAAATCATTAAAACTCGACCGATAAAACGTTTTAAAAACTATGATGTCGAATGTTCCGGTTTTGTATTTTACCGTGAAGCTTTTGTTTCCGATGTGATTTTGTTTGAAAACAAAAAAGTGTTTTGCTGCAATTTGGTATTACTTCAATTTACTTGCGGGACGAACAACTTATTCCAACAATATGGCTTAATGAAAAGATTGTGCTAAATCTTTTGCACACTTCTAGGAATATTTAGGTAGGCTATGTGTCTTTGTTTAGTTTTCCTTCCAGAAAAGTTCAAATGCAGGAGTACCAATGTGCTCTCATCCTTCACCGTTTAATGACATTCATCAGGTCTGCCTCTGGCATGTCTGTGATGTTACCTCGTTGGTCGCGCATGACGTCGGTCCGAAGGTCTGAGTCACAGCAGTAGAACAGAGCAGTGGGTATGACGTTTTGGGCAATGGCCATACCCACATTGTACATCTCCCATTGTCGAGTGAACGCTGACCACTGGTCTGGATCACATCCAGCAGCTATGGCGGGTGGGTCCAACTTCAGTTTGGGAGCCGCGGCAGCTGCTGGCTGGGCCTGTGGCTGGTGAACAGTCCTATCATGGATCTGGAGGGCTGCCGTCATCGCTGCGGCAAAAGCTGCATCCAGGTCCTGAGACTGCCAATCACATCCAAATACAGGGCACTGTAACGTTGGCATGTTGGGGATTATATTTTGTACCAAAATTGTCAATAATTGGTTTATTTCTGTTAATTTCTTGTTTTGGAGGCCTGTTTTTCGTCAAATTGTGTAGAACTGGTATGGTATCAGTCATAAATGATAACCATCATCCAATGAGTAACTCTTTAATTAACTAAGGATGACTGATACCTGAAACATATAGAAATAATATTACAATACATAAATGATTAGTTAAATATGACAACTTCTTTGTTTGTGTGTTCTTATTAATCTTGGACATTTGTCATTTATACCATCGATCAGAATTTTAAATCCACAAGATTGATTTTAAAGCTTGATATACACAAGTTTTATTGAAATCTATGGTGCCCCGTTGTTGCCACTCGCACCTTGGCACTTTCACCTTTACGACAAAGATGCAAGAGTTTGAATTTGCAAAGGTGAATGAGCAAAAGTATAGAGTTGCGAAGGCAAAGTGCAAAGATTTGAAGGTGACAGTGTGAAAATGAAAGAGTGTAAAAAGTGTCTTTTTATAGTGGTACTCCGTATTCTTTGAAAATTGATAATTTACTTTATAGTGATAAAAGGATCAAGCATCTTCAGATGATGAAAATTGGAGTGTCTAGTGATCATGCAATATCAGTATTTTTTGCTTCATACATATATACAGGCCCTGTTTATGTACATATTCATTATTTAATAGGTCAATCATTGTAAAATTAATTTACCTGATAAACCATTTCTTAGCCTTTCCATCCATTTTTGTCGTCACACTTATCTTGCTCATGCATTATACCAATAACATCTGAGAGAAAAAAAATTACTGGTGCAAAAAAAATAAAGGTAATAGTGCAAAGATGCGAAGGCAGGAGTGCATTAAATTAATGAATTAGGACACATGGACTGAGTTAGTCCACTAGGATTAACTCATAAAGTTAAATAGTTCCACAAAATTAAAGTGTGCATGAAGGTGAAAGTGCAAAGTGTGGTAGAATGATACTAGTCTTATTGCTCTTTTTCCTTTGCATCTTTGCACTTTGCCTTGGCACATTCTCACTTTTTCTTTGTCATCTTTGCACTCTTGCATCTATGTAGTAAAGGCGAGAGTGTAAAGTTTTAAGTTTTCAGGTATTGTTGAAAAGCGTT